TCTTCCTCTCCTCCTCCTTTTCCTCTTCTTCTCTTCCTCTCCCCCTCTTTTTTCCTCTTCCTTTCTTCTTCCTCCTCCTCTTCCTTCCTCTTCCTCTTCTTCTCCTTTTTTCTTCTCTCCTCCTCCTCCTCCTTTCTTCTTCTTCCTCTTCTTCTCTTTCTCCTCCTCCTCCTCCTTTAGTGACCGACCTGGAGATCAAATTCCAGTACCGCGGACGCCCGGTGGGAGCCCTGACCATCAGCAACCCGCACGGCTGCCGCCTCTTCCACAGCCACCTGGAGCCCACCCAGGAACAGGTGGAGCTCTTTGGACCGGTGATCTTGGAGCAGGTGCGCTTCCCCAGTGCCGAGGCCGTCCCCAACGAGAAGCAGCGTTACTACACCCATCAGTTGCTGGACGTCCTGGACCGGGGCCTGATCCTGGAACTGCAAGGCCAGGACATTTACGCCATCCGGTTGTGCCAGTGTAAAGTCTTTTGGACCGGCCCTTGTGCCGGAGAGTTGGCCGGGCCTAACCCCATCGAACGCGAGAAGAAAGTCAAGCTCTTTAGCCTGGAGAATTTCCTCAACGGTGAGATGGGGAGGGGTCTTCAGCAGGGGTCTGGGGGAAGGGGCTCCTGGGAAGAGGAGGATGGGCTTTGGAGTTTCGCCCTCGCCGGAGATGGTGGGGAGAACACCTTAGAAGAGGGGCGGAGGGAGTTGCCCCTTGAGGCCAATCAACTGGAGAAAATATCGCTTGGGCGTTGAAGGGCGTTTGAAGAGCTGTGGACAGGACCACGTCCGGTTGAAGCATTTGGACCTTGGCGGCTTTAAGCGGGTGGACTCCAATGCCCAGAATCCCCCAGCAGCACGGGGGGCTGAAGAATTCTGGGAGTTGAAGTCCACCAGTCTTAAAAGTGGCCAAGTTTAGAGAGCGATGATTCAAAGCGGTGTCTTTCAACCTTGGGAACTTTTAAGGTGGGTGGACTTCAAGCTCCCAGAATCCCCCCCCCACCCCACAGCCAGGATGGAGAGCTGAGGAATTCTGGGAATTGAAGTCCACAAATCTTGAATAGAAGTTGTCAAGTTTAGATTCAGAGCGGTATCTCAACCGTTTGGAACTTTTAAGATGGGTGGATTTCAAACTCCCAGAATCCCCCAGCCACCATGGAGGGTTGAGGAATTTGGGGAGTTGAAGTCCACAGCAGAGGTGGGTATTCAGCTGGTTCTGACCGGTTCTGGAGAACCGGTAGCGGAAATATTGAGTAGTTAGGAGAACCGGCCAATCCCGCCTCCGACTGGCCCCGCCAACCCCATCTCTCTTCTCTGCCTCCCATTGAGTCCCAGCTGATCAGCTGGGCCTCCTTTGGTTGCCCCGACCAGGAGAACAGAGCTGGAAAGCAGGTTAGTGGGGTGGGGAGGAAAGGGGGATTTTGCAGTATATCCTTCCCCTGCCACGCCCACCAAGCCACACCCACCAAGCCACACCCACAGAATTCCACACCCACCAAGCCATGCCCAGAGCGAATCGGCTGGGTCCTTTTTTTGGGTTGCTCTGCACAGGAGAACGGAGCTGGAAAGCAGGTTAATGGCGTAGGAAAGGGAGATTTTACACTATATCCTTTCCCTGCCACCTCCACCAAGCCACGCCAAAAACCCGGAGTAAAAACATGTTGAATCCCACCGGTCTTAAAGCTGCCAAGTTTAGAGAGGCAGGAGGTTTGGATGAGCCCTCCAATTCCTCCCACTCCAGGCCAAAATCCAATTTTAATCACCGTTTGAATGCAGTCAGCAAAGAACAGCCCAGTGAGGGATCCATTGGTTTGCATATCACAATTTCACAGTTAGGAT